CACACCAGTGGGGGCAGTAATGAGCGTGTGGAAAGCAAACCCCCACAGTCACCTGTATCCCTTAAGGAGACAGATGAGAATAAAGGAGATGTAAAGAATCCGTTGCCTTTCGGTTTGAAAAAACAACGTAGCTCTTTCCGGCTTTTCCTCAAAGGCAGGTCGCCCAATCAAAGCCCAGACTTAAGGACAGCAAACGATAGCACTGACTCTAAAACTGCCAATCACAGCCCATCAAAACCTGTCAAAGACTTGGCCAATGCTTCTAAAGAAGCCAGTCATTCTAAGGAGGCCAGTCATTCTAAGGAAGTGCCTTCAAGGATCGCCAGTCATGCTAAAGATCCTCCAAAGATCGCTAACCATGCTAAGGAAGTGCCTCCAAAGATCGCTGATCATGCTAAGGAAGTGCCTTCAAGGATCGCCAGTCATGCTAAGGAAGTGTCTCCGAAGATTGCTAACCATGCCAAGGAAGTGCCTCCGAAGATCGCCACCCATGCTAAGGAAGTGCCTCCAAAGATCGCCACCCATGCTAAGGAAGTGCCTCCAAAGATCGCCACCCATGCTAAGGAAGTACCTCCAAAGATCGCTAACCATGCAAAGGAAGTGCCTCCAAAGATCGCTAACCATGCAAAGGAAGTGCCTCCAAAGATTGCTAACCATGCCAAGGAAGTGCCTCCAAAGATCGCTACCCAGGCTAAGGAAGCATCACCTGAGGACGCGTCCAAACACACACAGACTCCCTCTCCTTTACATGAAGTCTCAGAGAGCGACAGCATGGCCGAACTGGACGACACATTCGTGATTATAGAAAAACCAAACGTGCTGAAGTTCAAAAGTAAATCTAAGTCGTCCAAACTAGGCCAAAGAAGCATGTCCCTGCAGACCATCAGCACAGGCGAGGAGGACGGTATGTTTCGTTGTTTACATTGTGTCTTTCAGCTCATGCATTATGAAATAAAACCCTGTTTACCTAAGTTTAACCCTCTACTGCACGATGTTGCCTCAGGGCAACAAACTAGTTTTCCTCACTTTACAATAACAAACATATTTAAAGACAATGATAGGCTTGAAAATAAAGGGAAGAGTTTGAGTAAGTCAATACTTGGTCATACTATCTCCTATTGGGCTCCTTTGAACCAATTTTCAGAAATATGTTTGTTGCCTAGAAGCAACACTGTGCGACCGTGGAATGGATTCAGCCAGTCACAAGCCAGGTCTCACCACTTCAGGGGACACAGCTCTGTATCATTTCTTCTCATTGTCGCACAATGTTGCCTCAAGGCAACATAATCCAAAAGGACCCCTGGACACATTTTTAAAAAAAGTTTTTGAATTTAATAATCAGATCTATTGTATGCAAGAAAAGTGAGTGGATTTTTTTTAATGGTTCTTTATAGCACCAAAAAGGGTTCTGCTATTGTTACAAAGTCAAGCTTGTAATAACAGCAGAACCCTTTTTGGTGCTATATAGAACCACTTTCAGAAAGGTACAACACATTCTCCATCAATCTGAAGAACCATTTCACCATGCAAAGAACTACTTAAGCATGAAATGGTTCTAAATAGAACCATTGCCTCTACTAAAGAACCATTGAAGAACATTGTTAAGAGTGTAGCTTTACTGAACTGAGATGAACATTTTAATTTTAGCAAGCGAGCGAAAAAACTTTATACCGTTGCGTTTTTACTGTCCATTTTAGTTGAATTAGCCAGTTTATCAACTGCTAGGTTAGCTGCTTGGCTACGCGCTGCTGCCAGCTATGGCAGTTATCTACACTTCTTTACTGTGCCGCATTGTGCTCTCATGAGTATATTATTATCTGATATGACTGTGTTTACTTTGTGTTTTTACTGTTCTTGGTGAGTTCATTAGCTTTTTTTTCCGCTAATCCTCACCAGTCCAGTATTGGTTTCGCAAGTTGACATGAACTGCAAATTTCCAGTGTGACTGCTGCTTCAAAAGGTTCATTTGTTCCCAGTTTAACTCCAGTATATCACGGTGTGAGCTCTCTAGGAGCCCATTGAACAGGCGACTGTGAATGCCAGGTTACCTGAGCTTTTGTGACAATAAAGCAGTCTTTGTTTGTGACCCTCTTTTTGTGTCTGTCCAGGCTCCAGAGGGCGAAGGCGGAACCAGAAGAAGACTTGCATTCAGTCATGAGCGAACAAACCCACAGTAGAAGGTAGAAACATGAAGAATCTTAGAATCTTCTGAGAATTAGACACAATGCCAGCTTGGACAGGAACAGGAAACGGACGGTTTGGCATCGCTTGCGCGGAAAGCAGAGCAGAATGTTTTGTAGGACTGTGCCTGCAAGATAACATCAGTGGAGTCAGTAATTTGACATGACTTTTCACCTCCAAAATGTCTTCTGTCCCCTTCAGTATTGAAATCAGAACGCTCACACTGGTGAGTCTGAAATATGAAATGTGAAATATGAAATGTCAAATGGGTTTGGAGTTGAAGAAGCTTCCCTACAGAACATTTGAAAGCAGAAGTCATGGCTTGGTGTTCATACCAGGAGTCGTAACCTTCTTAAGAATGGCAGAGGGAAAGGCCCAGAATGTGAATCGTCGGCTTTTCGTTTTGAAGCGAAAGTGACAGAAATGTTCTTCCTCCGGTTCTTCACGCCAATGTCATTCTCCAGTTTCTAGAACATGTCCATGTGAATCCAGTAGTAAAGCACATGTCATGTGTGGATATTTAGGGCCACTGTTTGCTTTAGTAGTGAAGAAGCACTTAAAATGCTCTTTTTGCATCTTTTTGTAGTTCAGTAACTACAGTTCAGTTCACTGGCCATTTTATTAGAAACACCTACCACAGAGCTGCTCTTGGCTGGAAATTTTTGGGTGGTGGACCACTCTCAACATAGCACTAACACCCCTAAACCAGCTCAACACAACTGCACATGATAACAGATGGACTTCAGTCTGTAGCTGTACGTCTATATAGTGGACCTATGAGGTAGGCGGAGCTCATAAAATGACCATTGGTAATAGTGGATGGTCCATGAATGTGCAGATACAGTGGAAGTACTGCTGGAGCCTAGTTGCTGTTGTGCATTGTTATATTTAAAATTATATGTTTTCACTGTTTTTATAATTTTGTACTGAGGACAATTAAAACGACTTTTTAAGACCTATATATGTCTCAAAACCTGCGATTTGTTTTGCTTACACCTGTGAATTTTTGAAAATATATGCATAATTAAATAGTTAAGATGTAAACAATGTGATTCAGAGTGATTTGATGTGAAATGCTCCGTTCTAGAGTCAGAATTGTTCACGGTGGTGGTGATAGGAACCAGACGTCCACCTCTACAAAGAGCTCCCTCACAGAAGGTTATTACATGAGTTGGTTATGAATTCACTGACTGGTGATAATCTTTTGGCCTGAAATGTACATTTCTGATGGCGGAGGGGTGCATGTAGGCTGTTGTGGGGCAAAAATAGTTCCCAAATACTTTTTTTTTTTTTATTTGCCACCATCTTACCATCATCAACATTAAATAAAAACTCATGCAGGTTTCGTGGTAGTTTTGGATGGTAAATAAAAAGGCTATATTTGCATTGTACACATCACATCTCCTGGTTCCTATCACCACAGTCAGTTAACCATTTCACATGAAACCACTCTGAATGACTTTACCAGACATTATCTCAATAACTGAATTGTGCAGCAAGCTCGAAAAACTGGAGGAATTCCCGTTTAATATTGGTCAGAAAAACTGAGCCATAAAGATATAACTTATATCAGGCATTATATCACATAAAAATGACCAAGCATTTTGGCCTGCTTCCATCACAGCCGATAACAGACACCAGCGCTGCCATAATCAGAAGCACTGCTTATTTAACCTGCCCTTGGCTAGGTGTGGCTATTTTTTTAGTCCACTCCCTTGTTTGGTTATAGAATTGCTAATATATTGTTCCTGCTATGGAGAACAGGCCAAGCTTTGGTTTTCCAAAGCAATGAACCTAAACGATGTAATATGTGTTAAGCAATCCAATGTCTTTCACAGTCGTAAGCGGCTGTATAAAGTGGCCGATGCGCTACATGCTAATTCTACCCAGATTTGCAGACCACAGCGCTGATCTTTAACCTTCTTGGTGAGGGTGAGTACGAGAAAGCTGAAAGGAGACAGAGTGAGATAAAGGTAAAGGAAATGGCAGACAGGAAGAAGGAGCTTGCTGCTAAAGACCACAAGTTTCAGTTTTGCAAAGTAGCTTTGCCTAAAAGGGGTTTTAGCATGCTGATAACTTCAGACTCCACATGTTAATCTCGAACCACCTGCTTGCAGGTTTTTAACCGGAATGGAGTCGCAGTACATTGAATGTTGAGAGCAGAATGTTCTTATGGCCTATACTGAACACCCGTCAGCCATAATATCAATCGTTTCTACGCTCATTGTCCATTTTATCAGCTCCACTGACCATAGAGGAGCACTTTGTAGTTCTACATTACAGACTGTAGTCCATCTGTTTCTCTGCATACTTTGTTACCCTGTTCTTCAGTGGTCAGGACCCCCATAGGACCCCCACAGAGCAGGTATTATTTGGGTGGTGGATCATTCTCACCACTGCAGTGACACTGAGGTGGTGGTGGTGTGTTAGTGTGTGTTGGAATGTCGCTGCTGGACAGAGAACCAAAAACATCCAGCCAACAGCGTCCTGTGGGCAGCGTCCTGTGACCACTGATGAAGGACTAGAGGATGACCAACACAAACTGCAGCAGCAGATGAGCTATCGTCTCTGACTTTACATCTACAAGGTGGACTGACAAGGTAGGAGTGTCAAATAGAGTGGACAATGAGTGGACACAGTGTTTAAAAACTCCAGCAGCACTGCTGTGTCTGATCCACTCAGACCAGCACAACACACTTTAACACACCACCACCAAATCAGTGTTACTGCAGCGCTGTGAATTATCCACCACCCAAATAGTACCTGCTCTGTGAGGGTCCATGGGGGTCCTGACAGATGGAGAAACAGATGGACTACAGTCTGTGACTGTAGAACTACAAAGTGCTCCTATATGGTCAGTGGAGCTGGTGAAGTGGACAGTGAGTGTAGAAACAAGGAAGTGATTTTAATGTTGTGGCCTGTTCACCATCAGCACTGGAGCTCCGCATCGATGGAGATATATTGCCCTCTGCTGGTCATATGTGGCACTGCAGGCAAAGGCCTACTTTAAAGCCAGTATTGACAAAGTAACAGATGTAGCTTAGCTCAGTTTCTTCAAATTGAATAAAGAGATGAGTTTTACATCAGACACACTGTTGTCAGCGCTTTCATGATGGTTCATAAGTGTCTCTAATGTATTAGTTTATATTTTTTTCTGTACACAGCACCAAAGAAACACTCAAAGTTTAAGATTTAACATTTAATAAATAAATCATTTACAATATACAGAATGTTTTACTAAATCTTTAAAGCTTATTGGCACTGAAGAAGACTAAATTACATTGCTAGTATATTTGTACATTATAAAATCACTTGGAAAAATGATTGATATACTAAGATAAAAGAAAACTACACTTACATATGATACAAAATGCTCATACTAAGATGAAAAAAACAACACATCAGGAAAGGATTCTAACATCGAGTCACATTATATGGTAAAGTGAAGGCATTCTAAAAGCATTTCATGTTCTAGTTTTGGATTAAGATTGATGAGAGTCCAGAAAAAGGCCCAAGGAACCTCTCCTCTAGCACTCAGCTGCTGTATGCTTGCTTTAACAAACAGCAGCTTCCTCTTTAGCCTCGCTATTGCAAGTGAACTGCTTAGTTGATGCTTATATACAGCAACCGCAGTGGAAGTGAAATTCAGTGCTCTGCTTTAGGGCACCATTTCTTGGAACACTACAATTAAATATGAAAATCGTTTCTCACACCTCCGCAGATGACTACACAAAGCAAACCTTGCAAAGCCCCAGAAAGGCCACCCGTAGCCTTAGTAGCGTATGGGAAGTGAAAAAGCGGGTGAGAAGCGCAGCCACTGTGCTAGACCACAACTTGATCCCCTAAAAGAAAGTTAAGCTAACCTTGTTTGACATTTTAATTGTGTAGCTAGTGCTAATACAGGCATGCTAATGTGGCTAACCGTGAAATCATGGAAGTTTGGAACCACAAATTAGCATCATGTCATTTGCATGGTAGTATTTGGTGGTGTTGATGGAACTGTACTGGACTCTGATTTATGGGGTGACCAGGCATCCTGTCTTTCTGCTTCATTTTAAGTGTCTTGACTGTTTCACATGTGCACATGTGAAGTAAAGGTCAACTCAACAGTCAGATCAAGATCAGAAGCCCACCGGCTCTTCACGTCAGGGTGGGTAAAGGATCTCATGGTGTTGCATAAAGAGAAGAACAACTCATCATAGGAGGAACGACATCAGCTAACTAACACAGATGAGATCAATGCTGGCCTTTAGAGAACTTTAGCTGATGTTAACAGCCGAGAGATGAAGAGTCGCCCCCCCTAACGGAGCTGCAGACAGCCGGTATAACTTTACTCTCTGTTTCTGGAGATTTAAATGACGTTTGAATGGAGAATCATAAGCATTAAATATCAGACTGAATGTCGTGGGTCAGAAAACGACGTCGTGTTTCGACAGACGTGATTCTGTAAGTTTGCTAGTGCAGTTAGTTCAGAGTTCAGCTCCAGTCCTGAAACCCCTGCACTGCATAACTGTGGTTTCCTGGTTAAAATACCTGATATAATCAGCTATTTAACCCCTTCTTGAGCTGAACGAGGTGTGAACAGCAGAGAGAGACACTAAACTGTACAGTGCAGCGGCTCCAAGCCTGGAGTGAAAACACTGAATTAAAGGTCTGTGTGTCTCTCGTCTCTCGGCTTCTGTCTTCCAGGTGAATCATTCACAAAGCACTGCAAATTGAAGGCATTGTGCAGCGCAGTCACTCCCTGATTCGGTCCTTAAAATGGCAGCAACTATACAGGGTTACGCCACGCAAAACGAGAGAATAGCCAATCAAATGCCCTGGAAAGCAGGCATTGTGTTAGAGTTTTCTGTAGCTGCTTGTCTAAAAGGTTTATGCTCTAAAGTTCTCTGATCCAGACTTAAGCTGTCAAATTTATAACGGTGGTCAATAAGCTGCCACAGTTATATTCATATTTATATTGATACGGGACTTCTCTGTCCTGTACTGGGCTGTGGAATGTCTGGTCACCCAACTACTGAAGGATTGGAAATTAGGGTAAACAAACTGATTTATATAACCTGAACCTGCACCAGGTACCCATTACTGGTTACAACTTGTACACATAAGCACTTATTGAAGCTCATTGGTGAGGCACTGCGTTGCTGTTGCTGATGACTTTCCTCTTCCGTGCAGACACCATGTCGTAGAAGGGGTCTTTGGTGATGCACGCTCTGAGGATTAACAAACACATAAAAATACATCTTATTAACTATTCATTTATACATCTATACATATTGTACTGCCACTTTGTTTATACATCCATACATACTGCATATGGAACTGGCACTTGTTTAGACACCCATGCATATACAACTATTAACTTATGTTATAGTTTACAGTGTATAGTCACTCAGTTCATTCACTGGACATGACAGGCACCTCTGCATTGTCACCTGCGTAATGTTTATGTGATTTTACTTACTTATTTTCATACTTCACATTATATTTTATGGTTGTTTTAGTATATTTTATTATATATGTTTACGTCTTCTTTTTCTGCATCTGTATATCATCTATATATCGCTGCTGTCAGAAGAAAACCTTTTGTCGTTTTTCAGTTTTTGACATAATTTGAAAATGCTTGTTGCCCTTTACATTGTGTGTAAATTTCATGAGGAACGGAGCAAAAGAAACGGCTCAAAATGATTTGGAAAAAATTCTGGTTCTATTGACTCACATTGAAGGTAAAGTAAGTTTTTTCCTTCTCCACGAGGTTTTCTTCCGACAACAGCGATATATATATATATATATATATATATATATATATATATATATACACGTGTGTCTATCTATCTATCTATCTATCTATCTATCTATCTAATCATTCGGAGACAAATTGCAAATGATGCCCAATTCACCTCTCCATACTCAGGGAAAGAGCACCCTTGTGGGCGGAGCAAGGGAACATCAATTGAGCAGTACAGAGTGAGGTGTGCGTTTTTGTATCTTAGTGAGGACCAAATGGTCTCAAAACTGTTCTTTTTCTACAAATACAGCTTGATTTGGAAGGGTTTAGGGTTCGAGTGCAGGCACAGCATTACTCAGCTACCTGATGGCTTCGACCCAGTCGCTGCGCTCCTCAGCAGAAGCGGCACTGATCTTGTATGACTGATGTTTCCCCACCACCACCCTGCCATCCGGATCAGTCTTACACGCCTTTATCTTCTGCCCTTTAGGATTAAAGAGCTCCAGGCAGAACTGCACACACACACACAAAGACAACATTTAGGCCTTAAAGTGAATAACTCATCAAAGTTACTGAATAATTCAGAGGACATACTGAATAATTTATAGTAGATATTAAACAATTCATAGTAGTTACTAAATATGTCATAGTTGATATCAAATAAATCAGAGTAAATATTAAACCATTTATAGTTGTTACTTATTTCACAGTAGATACTGAAGAATTAATAGTAGACATTCAATAATTCATAGTAGATAAAATCATGTATAGCATACATTAATAGTAGATAAAAATTCATAGTAGATAATTATTAGCTTATGGTAGATACTGAACAATTCATCCATCCATCCATCCATCCATCCATCATCTAAACAGCTTATCCTTCTGGGTCGCGGTGGGGTTGAACAATTCATAGTATTTACTAAATATATCATAGTAGATGATGGCATATGTTAGTATATCCATGGTATATATTAAATTATTTAGAGTACTCACTTAATTCACAGTAGAAATTGAATAATTTAAATATATATTTAATAATTCCCAGCAGATTTTTAAATAAATCATTGTAGATACTGAATAATTAATACTAGATTTTGAATAATTTATAGTAGATACTGAATAATTTATAGTAGATACTTAAAATTTTATAGGAGATACCTAATAGTTCATAGTAGATACTGAATAATTTATAGTAGATACTGAATAATTTATAGTAGATACCTAAAATTTTATAGAAGATCCTTAATAGTTCATAGTAGATACTGAATAATTCACAGAAGATACTGAATAATTCACAGTAGTTGCTGAATAATTCGCAGTAAATTTTTTGACTTAAGGTTAATATTTGAATAGTCAGTCTAGAGTTAAAGAAAATAGCAGAACTTTTGTCTTACACTAACCACACACAGGGATTTGGCACAAATCTACCCACCAGAAAGGTTCAATTCTAACCACAAGGAGACGTTTTCTGCCACTCTTGCTTTAGTGAAATGTTGCCAGGTGTGGCTGACTCAAAAAGCAGAATCCTTGTGACTCACATTACCCAGTCTAGTCTCACTTCTGTTATGAAACAGTAAATCAGGGGCCCAAGCACCACCTCCTGAACATCCACCCATTCCACCACACCTAGAGCAAATGTTCAGATTCCTGAAGACCTCGATTAGCTGAAGGTAAGTTTGGAGGATGGTGTATCTTTAGCCCTTAGGTCAGTTTCTTTTACTTGTGGACTTCCCCTCCTCCCTCCAGCACTTAAAACGAGTCTTCCCTTGAATCTGTGGGTGTGATAAATTTCAAAAATGGAACAGACTAATCCCCTCCAACACTTTCAAACATAGCTTTAGGACGGACTGCAGTCTTAGCGTACTGCACTGCGCTTAGCTAACTTGCGGAGGTAGATCATTTAAAATCAGCACACGCACAACAATAAAATGCTCACATATGGTTGGTTATCATTAGCTGTCACAGCTGTCTCTGGAGATTACAGCTTGAATTGGGCCTGAAATTTTGGTCCATTGTCTGAAACCTGAACCACATCAGTCCGAACCCAGTCCGAGCCCGACAACATTTTGTCCAAACCTGACCTGAACCACACCACCAGCTTTTAAGCGTGAAACTGACCCAAGCATGACAAAATTCTGTTAGAAACTGGCCCGAACTGGGACATCATCACTCAAAGTGCTGGATAAAAACTGACGGGACAGCAGCGGCTACCATGCAGTGATAATAATAGCCGTCACTGAAAAAACAAAACATCAAAGACGTCAACCGATACACTATAATAAAACAATCTGCTGTCCAAAACAGTTTCAACAGATGAAGTCTTAACAGATCTACGTTGGATAAACGTTCATATTGACCGTACAACATAAAAATACTTCTTTTAAAAGATTAAGCGTCCATTTGGCTGCACTAAACTGTGCTTTCCTGAACAATTTGCATGTCCATTTGCTCACGAGTGGGTGCTTTGTGGACCACTGGTGTGGGTGACTCAAGCGCACCAGATATATATTTATTTTAAAATATATTTCAAGGTAGTGAAAATAGGAAGGAAGAATAAAGTAAAGGAAAGTAAGGGGGAGGCGCACTGGGCATGTTATCAGGAGATCACGAGTTCGGTCCCTGGTGATGCTACAGCCGTCTGTGGCCAGGAGCACAATAGGCCTCGCTTTCTGGGTGGGTAGTATGCCCCCCATCCCCCGCCCCCCTCCATCACCCTGTGCGATGCTAGTCAGCACAGGCATCTGTTAGCTGATGTAGCAGAACTGGTGGTTAGTGTTCTCCTCCGAGCGCGTTTAGCTGTCCAATGATGTTGTGTTAGCAGCGTTTTGAAAGATATGGTGGTGCTTCACAGGTCTCGGAGGAAGCCTGCGCTACCCATGGGGCCTGGAGCTTTTTTGGTAACACATCTATACATATTTTGGAGTTATTTTAAATCAATATGTACAGTACCTAATTTGTATTTTCATGGGGCCTTCGACTCAAGGGGACCCTAAGGGGCTGCCTACCTTTGCCTAGTGCAAATACCACCCCTGGGGGCTCCCCTGAGGTCAAATGTGGAGGGGATGTCCACTGAAGACAAGAGGTCAAAGGGTATATTAGTGTTAGCACATAGGAGTACCTGTTTATGTGGGTCGTCCACTTCCCTCACACACAGGTTCTCCAGGGGGATGATCCCTATAGGCTCCTTGTCCTAAGAAAAGAATAGAGACTAATCAGTATTGCTAGTTACATTAGCGCTCGTTGATAGAAGGACTCATTCCTCTTCCTGATGAAGGCCTACACCAAAATGCTTGGGGTTTTAAACATTTTACCAATAGATATGGTACAATAAGTGCTGTTTAATTTCTAGTTTTGTGCCATGGGAGCACAATTTTGTACTTTTGTATGGCTATAATAAGAGCATTTCATTAGACAGTCAGTACTATCTTGAGTAGCACGTTCTATTCTGAATTTTCCTTTATTCATATTTAGCAAAGTTAGATAGGTATCATACTCACTGTGGTGTACTGAAAGTAGTACAGGCAGCTGTCTGTTAATATAAACCACCTCCTCTTCCACGTTTTCACTCTGCCCCCTATAGGACAGGATGTGTAACATTATGCATCAGGTGCCATAACAAGCGTTCCATTTGTATTCCAGCTGGTTCAGTAAAATGCTACACTATGGCTAATTAGACACAAACACCACATATTCCAAAACAGTTCCGATCTCATCTTTTAATCACAGAACTCTATGTTGGGCTATGGAGAATGAAGTGCGCTCTACAAAAGACGAACGCTTTAAGCAGTTCACTCACCCTCTTTCAGCAGCCAGCCCTCACGGTCAGGATTGAAGAAGGTGTGAGTGAGATCATTCCCATCATCCTCTGGAATTTTAAACGGCTCGTTCTTAATGCTCTCGTACAGTTTCTGAAAAGAGTTTTGGGAAAGGATTTAATTGAAAAAAAAATTGATTTCTAAAAACAGAATAAATGCTTAAACTTTCAGTACCTACTATCCAGTATGAATTATTCTGTACTTACTATAAAATATTCAGCAACTAATATTAATTATTCAGCATCTACTCTGAATTATTCAGCATCTACTATGAACTATTCAGCGACTACTACAAATTATTCAGTATCTACTATGAATTATTCAGCAATTATTATGAATTATTCAGCAATTATTATGAATTATTCAGTATCTACTATGAATGATTCAACAACTACTATGAATTATTCAGTAATGTCCATGAAATATTCAGCAACTACTATTAATTATTCAGAAACTACTATGATGTATTTAGTAACTACTATGAATTATTCAGTAACCACTGTGAATCTAATGCAGAAGCGCACAACTCCTGTCCTGGAGGGCCAGTGTCCAGCACAGTTTGGTGTTCTCCTTCTCAGACACACCAACTAAACCTGGCAATTACCAGATGAGTGTAATCAGGTGTGTTAAATCACCAAAGTGTGCTGGACACTGGCCGTCCAGGACCGGAGTTGTGCACCTCTGATCTAATGTGTACATTCTGTAGTTTTAGGGGTTGAACTGTGGACCCAGATACAGATCTTTTAGAATTTAAGGAGTTAATGTTTCAACTCAATGTCTGCATTGTGTGTGAGTTTGATCCTAAAAGTACCCCTCACCATGAGGAGGTCACTCGGAAGGTCCCCGCCGTTGTTGATGCTTCGGTTCATGCTGATGAAGCGCTCCAGCGTTGGCTTGTCCTTTACATTCGGATTGTGCAAGCTGGTGTTCAGCATGATGATGGCAAAGGACAGAATGTAACAAGTGTCTGTAACAGAAACACAAACACACAGTAGATAACAGTGTCTGCTGGTGTGAGACCTCAGGGGAAATTTGTGATTTTTATCCCAAGCTTTATGAATCAGAAATCTGTCTGTGGTTTTCTGTACCAAAAGTTCTTTGTGGCCAGTTTATCACGCAAGCATTTATTTGGTCCTTCTAAACATGAAAACACTTAAAAATGTACCTTACCATGTTTTGCTGACCTCTACTTGTGTCCTACTTTCAGTACAAGTGTCTGATGTTTTGAGAAGCGACTTTGATGGTTACAGTGTAGTTTTGGTTTCAGTACTGGGGGGGCATTATGAAGGACACTGTTTATGCAGGTCTGTTTTTAATCTCATGTTACTGTTGACACAATTTCATATGTGCAGAATATGAACTGTTTGTTCTGTAAGTCACCAGCTAACGTTAAAGTTACTGCCCTTTAATGTGAGCCTAGTCACCTAATTTAGTCACTATTTATCTGGTAATCCAGAGCTAGAAAACTGTGACGTTATGAGTGCTGATGGAAATGATCATCTTCTCATCAAAAAACTTTCCATCTCCTTAACTTTCCATCTCCTTTCTTCCTTTGAACAACTCAAACAAATTTCTTGGCCTCTTCATCTTCACTGTAGTAGCATTCAGGCATTACTGGGGCCAGTAAAGGGGCACAATGGGGCAATATGAGTAATGTATCCATACAAATAGATGAAATGTAACTAAGAAAGTGGGTAGGCGTAACCGTGGAAACAAGGGTTGCGTAACAATGGAAATTGGTGTAGCATAACTATAGAAATGGTTGTAGTGTAACCATAGAAAAATGGTAGCGTAGTGTAACAAAGGAAATGAGTGTAGCATAACTATAAAAATATAAGTGTAGCGTAACCATAGAAATGGTTGTAGTGTAACCATAGAAACGGTTGTAGTGTAACCTGAAAAATAGGTGTAGAGTAAAAATGGTAGCAGGTGTAGCGTATCCATGTAAATGGGTGTATTGTAACAATGGAAATGGGTATGGAGTAACCATAGAAATGGGTGTGGTGTAACCCTGGAAATGAGGATAGCATAATTATGGAAATAGTTGTCGCGTAACCATGGAAATAGGTGTAGCAAAATCATAGAAATGGTTGTAACATAACCATGGAAAGAGTTATAGCACAACCATGTAAATGGATGTAGTTTAACAATGTAAATGAGTTTATCATCACCATGGAAATGAGAATAGTGTAACCACAGAAAGAGGTGTAGTGTAACAAGTGGGAGTAGCATAATAAGGGAAACAGGTGTAGCGTAACCATGGAAATGAGAGTATTGTAACAGTGGAAATGGGTGTGGCATAACTATGGAAATTGTTGTAGTGAAACCATGGAAAAAGGTGTAGTGTAACAAAGGAAATGGGTGTAGCATAGCTATGGAAATATGTGTAGCGTAACCATGGAAATAGGTGTAGTGTAACCTTGAAAATAGGTGTGGCATAACTATGGAAATGAGTGTAGCATACCCATAGAAATCGACATAGCGCAGCCATGGATATGGGTATACGGGAAAAATAGAAAGGATGTAAAGGAACCATGGAAACAGGTGTAGCCCAGTGATCCATTTATGAGTAGTTTAGTTCAAATGGACTTCAGATGGATTTTTCTTAATCAGTCCATGTTTCTAATTCTATTTCTATTATCCAGATTATAGCAGATGGACAGTCAGAGCAGACCTGCCCTTTTTACAGATTTTGAATGTTTGAAAGTGAAGAGAGGGCAAAAACTGGATTTTTAGTTTTCCCTACAAGACCAGACACCTTTACTGATGTCAGGGGCTGTTGTACCTGTGGACTGAAAGACCCCCGCGTTGCAGGTGCAGTATCGCTGAGCAAAAGCTTCCATCATGCGGTCGATTTTTTGAGCCTCTCCAGGAAGCCGGAAACTCCACAGGAACTGCCTGCAGGGAGCAGAGGAGAAGGATCAGGAACCCAAACTGTTCAACAATATTCGTCCCATTTACACTAATGATAGTGTAACACAGCTACAATACTGAGTAGACTTGTATGTTAATGGACGGACAGCACCCACCGTAAAGCCTGAACCAAGTTCAGGTCTGAAAACTCATGGAGATCTACAAACGCTTTCAGTATCTGAAGGTGGAATTCCTCCCTAAACACACAAAGACATACAATATCACACAATAATCTCACTATACTGGAAATGATTTCAGGCCAAAGATTTAGAAGCAACAGCTAATTAATTCATTAATAATGTATAAAAACATGATAGGACATCATAACGGTAATAATTGTGGAGTGATTTTAATCCAGTATGAATCTGCAGTGTGTGTAGTTTTACAGTCTGACAGTAATAATTGTGAGTAATTTTAATCCAGTATGAATCTGCAGTGTGTGTAGTTTTACAGTCTGACAGTAATAATTGTGGAGTGATTTTAATCCAGTATGAATCTGCAGTGTGTGTAGTTTTACAGTCTGACTGTAATAATTGTGAGTGATTTTAATCCAGTATGAATCTGCAGTGTGTGTAGTTTTACAGTCTGACTGTAATAATTGTGGAGTGATTTTAATCCAGTATGAATCTGCAGTGTGTGTAGTTTTACAGTCTGACAGTAATAATTGTGGAGTGATTTTAATCCAGTATGAATCTGCAGTGTGTGTAGTTTTACAGTCTGACGGTAATAATTGTGGAGTGATTTTAATCCAGTATGAATCTGCAGTGTGTGTAGTTTAATCAGTCTGACTGTAATAATTGTGGAGTGATTTTAATCCAGTATGAATCTGCAGTGTGTGTAGTTTTACAGTCTGACGGTAATAATTGTGGAGCGATTTTAATCCAGTATGAATCTGCAGTGTGTGTAGTTTTACAGTCTGACGGTAATAATTGTGGAGTGATTTTAATCCAGTATGAATCTGCAGTGTGTGTAGTTTTACAGTCTGACGGTAATAATTGTGGAGCGATTTTAATCCAGTATGAATCTGCAGTGTGTGTAGTTTTACAGTCTGACGGTAATAATTGTGAGTGATTTTAATCCAGTATGAATCTGCAGTGTGTGTAGTTTTACAGTCTGACGGTAATAATTGTGAGTGATTTTAATCCAGTATGAATCTGCAGTGTGTGTAGTTTTACAGTCTGACGGTAATAATTGTGGAGCGATTTTAATCCAGTATGAATCTGCAGTGTGTGTAGTTTTACAGTCTGACGGTAATAATTGTGAGTGATTTTAATCCAGTATGAATCTGCAGTGTGTGTAGTTTTACAGTCTGACGGTAATACTTGTGGAGTGACTGGTCTTCTGTAATAGGCTACACCTGAAGCTCCCTCAATAATAATAGTCATGTTTCAATCTACATCGCGCAACAGAGCCACATCAAGAGTTGTTATTGTTATTGAGTGTGTCCTGTGACGTCATGCTGATGTCAGTTTCTGGGTTATGACCTTTCCATCAGGACTATCTGAAGGAATTTGGGGAAATTACACAGATACTTTATCCTGAATCAATCACATCTCAAAATTACATTAAATATACCTCCTCAGGGAAAACTAATCCAACTCCAATAGGGAATTAATTGTAAAAAATGTTTGACCACTAATGTCATCAGAAATCATCATTATCATACCTTTCCCCAAGGAAGTTGCCAATAGCTGTTTTGCCAAGGCCTTCTTCCTTGTACAGAAACTCCGCCACTGCTTCTGGAGTATTGTCCAGCAGGTCATTATTCTGCAGGTACTGGATGCCCTATAGTGAGACACAGGCACAGATAGAGTCAGAATGTGTTGAGCTGTAATGCTGACAGGACCAGACCAACAAAACCACAAGCATGACTAAAAACATCTGACACATCCTATACGTTAGCATGAAGGACGTGGGTTTGTTTTCCACTTTACAGTTTCCATTACAAAGCTGTCTTACCTTCAGTTCATTTACAAACCAATACCAGAATCTTCTACTGTAATGTAGGGCTGTGTTTATGCCTTTGTTAATGATTCTCATTTAAAGCTGGGTAATATGGCCAAATGTTAGCATTAGTGTAAAAATTACATCACAGTACATTTTTCTGGGTGTGCAATGTGTATGATCAGTACTTGGATTATAAAAACATTAAGAGCAATCATAGAGAACCTGCAAACAACAAAAAGTGAATAGTGACCAAATTGCATAGAAACAAAGTGGATTGATCTTCCTTCTTGTTCAGGCAAAACACTACAGGCAGAAATGACTGTAATCACAATATAAACTATAATGACAAAAATGCCAAATCTCAACAGAAATATGTTTTTTTTTAGCCCGTTAAGTCAATTCATCTCCACTTGGGTCTCCAAATGTTAGTGAATTTAATTAAATTTTATTATGCCCATCTAAGGAACTTTGGGTCTAAGCCGTTTTTCTCTAAGGAAAATAGTAAGCGTTTTCGCTGTTGCGTCCGGTGCTAAGCCAGAATGTTCCAAAACACATACATTTTGCCCAAATCTCACAAATTCTCTGAATTATGAGATGGTTTTATGGTCAAAATATGAATATTGCTACATTCATGTTACAAGCAAGCTAACAGAACTGCACACTGGACACATTGAACTGATGCCGCATGAAAGTAAGTCTACTAATAAACACTATTACATTATAACAACCAGGCTTAAGCTGCCAAAGCAACTTAACTACCACTTTTGGCAAAGCTTGCTGGTTGGCGTGGGTTATTTTATGATTCAGTGTGTAACAATGTTATGTAGCAACATTTATATTCCTTGCGCAATTCAGAGGATCCAGTGACATTTGGAGGAAAAACCTATGTACAGCAAAAGTATCAGGTTTGTTCACCACAGAGCAAAATAGCAGCATTTTTCAAAAATGCCATTCGTTTTTCCCATAGAGCAAAACTACTAGAGCAGACTTCCTTATATGTCAGCGTATGTAATGCACACTTAGCCCAACTATGTTGAGTCAAAAGTTACTAAAAACCTGTAGAATCCAAATAGAATATATATTTCATTCACACAAGTTTTCTGAGATCTGTCTGGGTAATGCAGTTCTGAAGCCTATTTAGAACCATTGGAACAGCTTTTCTCCAAATATAGAACCAAAGATTTCGGCTTCCAGAAGCTGTCGTGAAGTTTTACACGTTCATTCCTGACTGTATTCTGAAGGATGTTACAGAAGGATTGGTCGTTGCTGGCTTAAAGCTAAATTTTGTGCCAAAAATGAATATAAATGTTTATATTAACAGTGCAGTGTGTTTAACAACAAAGCAACAAAATTTAAATGACCTGTTCTGTAAAATCATCACTCTGGAATGTGTCATCACAATAAAAACATTTTAATTCTGACATAAACCTTATGTGAAATTTTGTTTTTTTAAAAAATATGCAAATATATGCATATTTCAGTAGATAACCTCTCATTTGCATATATAAGTGTAATGTTTTGCAAGATGTTCAATTGAAAAAGTACTTGTAAGAATGTCAGTTATCAGCTGTGAAAGATTCATTGTGATATCTGTTGTTTTTTTTTTTTCAAACGACCCAATTCACCTGTCTCACTTTTTGGCAGACGTGGATTAAAATCGTGCTTTTGTTTTTCGGTCAAATGTGACTGTTGTGCTTTTACTGTTTTGCAAGTGTTGTGACGTCATATGTTCGCTATACCGAATAATACTGCTGATAATTATGTGAATTTAAAGTCCCTTAAACGTAGCACTTCTCTTTTCTTAAACAATCCTTCAGGTTTTTCAGTGCATCTGTTCTTGAGCAACACAGGATGTGGTTCTATCATTTGCTTGCTCTTGCTTGCTTTCTTTTTTTTTACTCTCTCTCTTCCTCCAGCTCTTTCTTTAACCCCATTTTCTTCCAGTCATATGCAAAGGTTTGAAAAAAAGCCAAACAATGTTTTGTTGATTCATCTAAGTAAAAAAAAAAGGTAACACATCTTAACACACTGAAATATGGCATTATTTATGCTCATTTTAGTGCACAGCCTCTATTTATTGCTTAGTTTAAGATATTACAAATAAAAAAATACAACATAAAATATAAAAATGTGCCCTATTTTTTGCACAGGCCACTTTTTGTGTTTTTGTTTATTTTTTCCTCCAAATGTACTCAAATCAACAACAGCACGTTATTCGACCAGGGGTGCCAAAACTTTTGCACACAACTGTGTGCCGGGCCGTCATGAACTCATTCGGGACTTTTCTCTTTCTCGGGTTATTTGCCTTATTTTTTTGCTACTTTTCCACCTGGACAAACCTCAAAACACTTGCCTTCACTGGGTCCATGTTAAATTTCTTCTTCCCGCACAGGAACCTCTTCGCCCTCACAACGTTCTTACTGAAGGGAAACAAGATCAAAAACAGATCAGAGATTGAAAAGTAAAGGGGAAAAAGGACAACATGACGGTAATTCATGTCATTCAAACTTATCATGAATGACCGTTTTGCTATCTTCCATCCGCGCTTATCAGAAGGCTGTGACGACATCATTCAAGCGCTCATTGCACCACTCGCCACATCGCGCATGTCTGTTTGGAAAATTCATTTGCTCATTAATCTGTTTCATCATTTTCTGTGGCTGTTCTGTCCACATACGCTCCTGGCTGTGGCCCATTTGAGGTTCAGCTGCTTCTGGTAAACTGTCTACTGATGAAACAGGAAGCGCATACCCACACACGGAGCACAAACTCACCTCAGATATCCGGACTGCGAGGCAAGCAGTACTACACGACCCTGAGTGTTGCCTTTACACTGCAGTCTCTCTTTCAAAGTGGAGAAAAACGCAAAGCAAATAAGCCCCAAACATACATTTTTAATACTGGCAATTCCTTCCGCCAAAAAAAGTAGTTCCAGCAGTCTTAGAGAAAAGCATGTGGTCAGTGGAATGATACAGGTTCAGGGCAAAAAGCGTGCTACAAGAAGACATGACAAGTGAGTTCATGCCTCTACTGACCAATCCAAGAGTGGCAGTGGCAAAGAAAAACTCCCAAAGATGTATATGGAAGAATTGGTGGGAATGTAGAGACACTATAACCAAAACTATGTAACTATATTATAGTGATGTCATCAATCCATATGGGTCACCATAGCCCCTTTCATACATTAACCTGTGAGGAGGAATCTAATGGTAATAAAATGGGGATCCTGTAAAGTTTGATGTATGCAAATCCCAGAGAACAATTCCCAACAGAACAGTTCCCCAAAAATTCCCAGGAGGGTTCATAAGTGATCAGAATCCAATACATTCCAGAAAAAGACAACGTATCGTAAACGAACCATTAAGGAGCCCTGCTGGTGACATTCTGTATAAATCAAAATAATGTGTGGCCACGACTTAGTTAGGCATGGGAACAAGATAATTAAGCCTTAACCACAACTTAATATAACATGATCTCTTTCCCGTGACATCTTAGTAACACATAGGACTTGAGATGGGGACTAGATAATTAAGTCGTGGCCATGCAACTCGAAAAGTTCAGTTTCCGGTTCTCACAAAGGCAAATCGTCATTATGCCCGTATTAGGTTGTGGGCTGTCATCAGGTTAATGATGTCATGCCCCTATAAAGAACTCTGGATCTAAGTCATTTATCTATATGGAAAAAAAGAACACCGTTTATGGCATTGGGCCCTGGGCTAAACAAAAACTTCAAGAATCCTCTGAATTCTGAGCTGGTTTAGTAGTCGAAATATGAAAATTGCTACATCCAATATTGCTACAACACTGAACTACGATTTGACCACACTGAACTGATGTTGCATGAAAGTAAGTCTGCAATTAAACACTATTACATTTCGAAAAACCAGGTTACAACTACCAAAGTAACTTAGCTACCACATTTGACCCAGCTTGCTGGTTGGCGTGGGATATTTTTTTATTCAGTGTGCAGCAGTGTTATGTAGTAGCATTCATATTACTTTAAGAGTTCATAATTCAGAGGATCCAGTGACATTTGGAGAAAAATGTCTGTAAAGCAAAAGGCATCAGGTTTGGAACATTTTTGTTCACCACAGAACGTAATAGCATTTTTCAAAAATTGTCATTTATTTTTACCATAGAGCAAAACTGTGAGAGCAGACTTCGTTATCTGGCCGTGACACCAACTACAGACTGATGACACGAGTTCAGAAGTCTATAAAGAAGATGTTGACTAATCATGCTGAGTTAACATCCTGTTTAACAGACTTTCATAGCAAATGTGAAGTGCAAGTCTGAATGACGTAAAGCTTCAACATTAGCAGTGAAGGAAGGTCAGTAATGCACAAATCTAACATGCAAAAATGGTGGTCATTAAGGTACTGATAGGCTGTGTGTATGTATCTCTGGTGGCTGCTAAGCTGTTGCTGAGCGTTAGCTGTGGTATCCCAGGTGGTTGCTAAGTTGTTAGTAGGTCATTGCTATGGCATCTCACATGGCTGCTATGGTGTTGCTTGGACGTCACTATGGCATCCCATGTGGCTGCTATGATGTTGCCAGGCTGTGGCTAATGTATTCCAGGTGGTTGCTATGCTGTTATTTGGCCATTGCTATGGTATCCCAGGTGACTGCTAAGGTGTCGCTTGGCCGTTGCTGTTGTATCCCAGGCGGTTGCTACGGTGTTGCTAGGCTGTGGCTATTGTATCCCAGGTGGCTATTATGGTGTTGTCTGGCCATTGCTATGGTGTCCCAAGTGGTTGCTATTGTGTTGCTAAACTGTGGAGATTGTATCCCAGGTGGCTGTTATGGTGTTGCTTGGTCGTTGCTGTGGTATCCCATGTGGTTGCTCTGGTGTTGCTATGGCATCCCAGGTGGCTGCTATGGTGTTGCTAGGCCATGGCTATTGTATCCCAGGTGGTTGCTAATATGTGTGTATATATGTGCTAGTATGTATATGAGTCTGCATGTATTGTCTATGAGGGTCAGTGTGAGAAGTGTCTTGTGTGACGTAATTTGTGCCAGTTAGATTCAAAATTTCAAAACATTCTACCATTAATTTCTGGTGGGAAAAAAAATTGTGTTGCACGAAAACAATACGTGTAATTTGTCCCAAATGCACACGCACACTATTCAACTATAGGCTCTATGATCCTGGCAAGTTTTGTGGTTCTAGCGTAAAAGCTGTGACCCATGGAAACTGCACGAAAAAGGTGTGTGATGATATAACGAAGATCAATAACTGGCTTAGTTAAGTCAACTTACACTGAGAATCGAAGAGCACTAATGGCTAAAATTTTAGACTCAAGCTGGGAATCGATACCGAGAATCCCATCTTCTGCACAGTCAGCTAAGCTGAGAAAAAATAAAAATACTCACTTCTCCTGGTTGGACTCCATGGTGTGGATTTCAGTCAGCACATTTTCAATGTCCAATCTGAGTTTCTGTTAAAGACAGTGGAGGAGGAACCTCAATCAGAGGTCATTTACATGCTGGCCGTTCATTTTATGAGAAACCTCTTTCACTTCTCCTCTCTGGCCACTTTATGAGCTCCACCTACCTTACAGCTCCACTTCGTAGGTATACAGTTAAAGACTGTTGCTGCGCAGTTTATCAGCTGCCCTCTGCCCCATTCATCACCAGCCAGTTTCCGACCACAGAGCCGCTGCTGCCCAAATATAATTTGGGTGGTGGTCCATTAATAGCACAGCAGTGACACTGACATGGTATTGAGTGTGGTATTGCTGGGGTTTTCAGACACATCACTGTCCCTGCTAGGTTGGGTGTGGACCACTGACCAAAAATATTCAGTCACGTGTGGCTCTGTGGTCAGAAACTGACTACTGATGAAGATCTAGCACAAACAATGCATCAGATGGACACCAGCAAGGTTGGACTACAAGGGGGCGGGGGCAGGAGGGGGTCCAAAAAAGTGGACAGTAAGCATATTGTTAAAAACAGATTTTGACCGAACATGATGACTCATGCTGAAGCTTCAAAGCAGCATGCAAATAACTTCTGGGAAAGTTTGATAAGTAAATATTGTGTAGCTTCATAGGTAAGTGATGCTGAGGGATGCTTGTAGGCCGGACTAAGTACACTGAAAAACAGTGCTGGGTTGAATTTGCTGGACTCAAATCATTTCATATTTGAATCAAATAAATTCAGTGCAGTACTTTTTCCACTGTATGACACAGAGTTTTATTCACCTTGTTCAAAGAAGTGAGAGAACTGTGTATTAAAAAGAATAGTCTGTCAAAAATAACTAAATTTACTCAATTTTCCACTCACCCCAGATGTATTCGATCAGCCAAGATATGTTTGGTGTCCAAATTTTGAGATACAAGTAAGTATATCTAAGTATTTGCCAAGAACAACTTCAGTCAAACTGCATACAGGCCTTCATTAAGGTCACACAGACGTGTCGACGTGGTTTAGGACACAGTATGACTCACTGTGCATAAAAATCAACAAAACTTCACCGTGTGGCTAAACACCATGGTCAATCACTTCAGACAGGTGATAAGCTGATTTCTCACTCATTCACTCATGCACATCATGAGGACACATGAACAGTTTTTCTTTTCATATATATGAAGATATATGTTCATAAATAGAAGCAACAAAGCTTATAGTAAGTCATACTGCTTCCTCAAATACATCAAGTCTGAATGACCTTAATGAAGAGTTGGAAGTGATTTGAAGGGGTTGAAAGAAGTTTGAAGGGTGTTTTATGGAAAAGATTTGGGTGACTATTGACTCCCAGTGTTTGTTAGCAACATTAGCATTGTAGCTCCAACGCTAAATGACAGAAGCAAAATTTGGACACCAAACACGTCTTGAATAATCCACTACTATGGTAACAAGTCAAGCTGTACCATGCAGGGGGAAAGCAGCTTTAATAACTTGTGCTGTAGGTCAAATGCCTTTGAGCAGGTTTTTGTGTTCAAATTTTCTGTCCTTATCATTTTCTTTGAAAGTTTTTCAGTTTTCAAAGAAAATGATAAACTGCAAAAAATTAAGATTGTTTTTTGTACTACTGTTATTTTGTGAGCTAATTCACACAAATAGTGTGTAGAAATATTTACTGAATGTTATTTTATTAGCTGAGGTTGTTCTGAATCTAAGGATGTATAACACTTTACGGTTCTGTCCAAAAAAACTAAAGTGCTAAATGCAGAACTATGCAAAGGTGGAAGTGTATCAATGTAGGTCATGAAAGGTTCAACAACAAAAAAAAATCAGTTTCCTGCAGAAGTCCAGAGAGGCCATGAAGTAGGTATAGTTTTATATTTTCTGGACTGTTATCTTGACAAATAAGTCTTGATTTCAAGATAACAGTCCAGACCTCATGTAAGACTTCTCTGGACGTCTGGACTAGTTTCTAATTAAATAACATACATCAAATAAAGAGCTACATCAAAAAGTAAGTAAGTACCTGGATATCATCTAGAATGTCATTCTTGTGGACCCTGATACCTTCAGTTGGCTTCTTTTCCGTCTGACTGAAACCTTCCGGGGCTGTGGACGACATCAGCAAACAAACAGCACAACTGAGCAACATGTTCACCTTTAAAAAAGTCACATGTGAGATATGTGCAGAGTTGCTGACTCATAGTTTTATATCTGAAGCTAAAGTCATGGTTGCTTCCCACTCATTTACCATAAATGCTTTGAATTAATATATGCAGCGCTAAAGCTTGATAAAAGCATATTTGCATTTCCTACTATTTCAGCTGAAGCCATTCAATGCAAGACTAGCATAATAGGAACTTAACTGGACACCAATACTTGCTATTGTGTATCTCGTTCCAAACTTTAGTTCACAGCAAATGTAATAAAGTCCCATAAATTTAAATTCATTCAACAGGATTTGTGGTTTAATTAGTATCATGCTGCACTTGTTCATGGTTAAATCACTGTGCTTCCTCTTCAGAATGTCGTTTCCACCACTGTCGTACCCGATCCATGGTTAACCGATTAACCATATAAGTGTCCAGAACATTTATTACACTCGTCTTTAACTTATGAATAACTCAGCCAGTTTGCAATATAGTCTATGCAGTTGGTGACTAATGACAAACCTTAAGATTTATGGAACTCAAAAGTCATGTGTCGTTCTGTAGTCGGCGTCACGCCCATATTTGGGATTCCAGGTCTAAGAAGTTCTTCTCTTTTTGAAAAATGAGTGTCATTTTCACCAATTTCACCGCGCCATTAAACAAAAATGTTCCAGACCCAAAACATTTTGTCCTACATGCAGTTTCTCTGAATTATGAGGTCATTTAGCAGTCAAAACATGACAAATGCTACATATATGCTACAACACTCTTGCTCGTTGAAATGGCATCACATGAAAGTAAGTCAGCTATTGAACTTCAACACTGTTATATACTAAGGTTCCCGAGTGGCACAATCTAAGCATTGGCCCTATCATCAGGAGATTCTGAGTTCAATCACTGGCCATGCTGTGGCCATCCGTGGCTAGGAATCCAAGCGAGGACAGTTGGCTAATTGGCACATTGCTAACCAGCTCAGGCATCTGTCAGCTGACTGGCTAACTGGCAGCTGGCACTTTCCACTGAGCTTGTTCTAATGATGTTGCATTAGCAGCAGTACGAAAAGATGCGATGGCGCTGTGTAGCAGTAGTCATATTTCGGCTCTTTAGCAAGCAGAGGACCCAGTGTTTTTTTCAGAAGAAAAGAAAGATGCATCAGATTTGGAACATTTTAGTTTACCATAGGGTGCAATAGCAGGCCATTCATTTTTCCCATAGAGAAAACCGGCTTAGACCCAGAGCTCCTTATATGGGGAAATACACTGAAGTCGTTTTAGAGGCTTCCTGTTTTATCTTCCAGAAAATCTGGAAATCTGGAATCAGACTTTGCATGGTTTATTGCTCAGTTAAGTCCATTTTGTTTTAACAATTACTCTATTATCAAAACAATAGGTAGAAAATTCAGTCACTAATATCACTGACAGTTACAGCCCTAGTCCAGTTACATGCTGACCCTCTGACATGGTGTAGGAGTTCAGTAAGAGCGAGCAGCTTACCTTTTCCCCAGAGGAAACTGTCTTTTCTCTGAGTGCCCATGCTGGCCGTGCTGGAGGGGGACTGCAGTAAAATAGGAACTTGAGTTACTTTAAAGTTAGCCCAGTTTCAGAGTGACCTCAAGGGTTTATTTATGTCACTGCAGAACTACTAAGGAACTCTGAAGTTTCTGTGGTTTCTTCTTCTGTCTTAATCTTTACACAAACTGTCAGAGTTTTGTATGTTGTTCACTTTAGGACACTTTATTGAAGGGCAGCGTTCATACACACTTAAAAATGATGGTCCTTCAAGGGTTCTTTAGTGAAGAAAATGGTTCTATGTAGAACCATGAACACTCAAAGAACTCTTTGCATGATTGACATCGTAACAATAGAAGAACCCTTTTTGGTGCTATATGGAGACTCAAAGAATTGATGGAGAATGTGCTGTAGATGGTTCTATATGGAACCTTTTTGAAAAGGGTTGTATATAGCAACAAAAAGGGTTCTTCTATTGTAACATGCTTGACATCATAACAATAGAAGAACCCTTTTTGGTGCTATATAGAACCCATTTCATAAAAGGTTCCATGTAGAACCATCTATAACACATTTTCCATCAATCTGAAGAACGCTTTTTAAAAAGGCTCTATATAGAACCATGTACAGCACATTCTCCATCAATTATTTGAGTGTTCATGGTTCTATATAGAACCATTTTCTTTGCTAAAAATCCCTTGAAGAACCATCATTTTCAGTGTGTAAGGCTACACTTCACCATCATAACCCTTTGACAATTGACATAAGCCTGTAAAGTTATTTATAGAGGCTTATTCCAAGAAGCATCATCTGTCATAACACTTCTGGGGGTTAAATGACATTGAAACTGACAACTTTGACAGTTGAGGCCTTTATATCAATGAGAAGCTGAAAGAAGATGAAAAGCTAATGTAGGTGTGAGCCTTACAAATGCTTTTTGATGAACTTTATCTGCTTTATTTTACCCCAATTGGCAAAATATCGACAGAGTGCATACATTATATACAATATAGCAGATGTAGTTAATATATTTGGCGATTAAGGCTATTTGTAGGCTGTTAAAGAGGTTATGATGCAACTAAAGAACTACAAAAAAGCTATTCACTCATTTAGAAAATGAAGCATTGTAAAATTACAGCAAACCACAATTCACTGTCCAGTGAAATAGCTACTATATAGGTGTTCTACACTATATACAACTACAATATTGATTAATTATTTACAAAAATAGCCAATGCTGTTAATGTATTTGGCTATTATGGCTAATTGAAGGCTGTTCAAATAGTTATAATGCAAGTAAAGGGCTACAAACAGACGTTAACCTACATTTGACCCATTTAGAAAATGAAGCATTATAAAATTACAACAAACCACAATTCATTGCCCAGTGGAATAGCTCCTATATAGGTGTACCATACCGTGTGGGACTATAATATTGACAGTGTGCATTAATTATACACAAAAATAACCAATGCTCTTAACATATTTGGCTAGTAGACTGTTAAAGAGGCTATAATTAGCATTTTAGACCCGTTAAAAAATGAAGCATTGTAAAATTACAGCAAACCACAATTCACTATCCAGTGGAATAGATACTATCTAGATGTACTATACTATATAGGAGTACGATATTGACAGTGTGCATTAATTTTGTACAATAATGGCCATTGCTATTAAAGTATTTGGCTATTAAGGCCACTTGAATGCTGCTAAAGAGGTTTAAAGGAGTACAAAAAGACATTATCCAACATTTCACCCATTTAGGAAATAAAGCATTTCAAGACTACAGCAAACCACAATTCACTGTCCAGGGGAATAGCTACTACAAAAGGTGTACTATCGTATTTAAGACAGTGTGCATTAAGTATACACAAATATAACAAATGCGGTTAATATATTTGGCTAGTAAGGCTATTTGTAGGCTTTTAAAGAGGTTAAAATGCAACTAAAGGATTACAAAAGTAATCTATCCAACATGTCACTCATTTAGAGAATGAAGCAATGTAAAATTACAGCAAACTACAATTCACTGTCCAGTTGGATAGCTACTGTGTAGGTGTACTACACTACATAGGACTACAACATTGACAGTGAGCATTAAATACATACACAAATATCCAATACTGTTAACACATTTGGCTAGTAAGGCTATTTGTAGGATGTGAAAGTGGTTATGATGCAACTAAATGATATTATCCAATATTACACCCCTTTAGAAAGTGAAGCTTTCTAAAACTACAGCACACCAAAATTCACCGTCTAGTGGAATAACTACCATATAGTTGTACAATACAGTGTTGAACATACTTAATAGAGTTTTGAAGTAATGTTAAGGAGCATCATTTTAAAAAATGAATAAAATAATAGATAAAGTAGTTGCTTACCTTCATATGTCTGACTGTGCCTCAGTGTAACTCCACCGACTGCCACACAGACATTCAGACAGAGCTGCACGCAGCACCGGATGAGAGAGACTCTCAGGAACAATAGCTGACGCTGCTCTCTCTGTGTGTCTGTCTCAATCACATACACAATGAACTCTGTATTCCTGTCTTTGTGGGGTATTTTCCTGCTCTTTTGCATGTAGAGGCAGCTGTGCTCCATCTAAACCGACCCTAACCTTAACCTCAGCATCCAAATCTGCTTTTACTTTTTTTTTACTATTTTACTCATGAAAAGTAGTTAAAGGTCTCCACAACCACTAAATGTCAGGTCATACTGGGGCAACGTGGTCCCCACAAATAGCTAAACACACACTCGCCAACACACAAACACACCTTTACACTTAAAAAAGATGATTCCTCAAGTGTTCTTTAGTAAAGACAATGGTTCTGTTTAGTATAGAACCATTTCATGCTTAAACAGTTCTTTACATGGTGAAATTGTTCTTCTGATTGATGGGGAATGTGTTGTATATGGTTCTATATAGAAGCTTTTTGAAAATGGGTTCTTCTATTGTTGTGATGTCAAGCTTGTAACTATAGAAGAACCCTTTTTGGTGCTATATAGAACCATATGCAACACATTCTCCATCAATCTGAAGAAATGTTTACCATGTAAAGAATCATTTAAGCAGGAAATGGTCAATTTTATATATCTATATAGAAATCATGGTTCTAAATATCACTGTTGCTTTTACTAAAGAACCATTAAAGAACCTGATAATCATCATTTATGGATTTATACATCTCTATTAGCATGCTAATGCTAACATATTTGCTTTAGAGCTGTTTCACATTTAGTTTCTAAGTTTCTTTTTTGGGCTTAATTTCATTGTGTTGTGTTGTAGCTCCTGGACCACTTTACTGTTGCTAACGTCGCTCTGGAGCTTCAGCATTTTATTTTAAACCAAAAAGAGAAGAAAAAAGCTTAACAAACTTCAGCTCCTTTGCTGAGATTCTAAATTCTGCTGGACCTCAGCCCTTTAGGAGTGTTTTACTCAGTGTTGTTCGAGCCACGCTGCTTTTCCTGCTTCTTATCTCTTTGTTTTGTTGCAGTAAAACGTATTTCACTGGAGCATGGGCTCAGACTACTCTGCACACCTCTAATCAAAATCATCGTGCCATTCTGCCCTCTTGTGTTGAGGTGTTGAAATTGCAGTGTAATCTGTTCTGAATCTCAAACGGCTTCCTGTTCCCTACCTAGTGCACTGCATAGGGCCCACGTGTCAAACACAAGGCCCGCGGGTCAAGTCAGGCCTACTAAACGATTCTATTTGGCCCGCAAAATTGTTTTAGTTTTCTATTAATATTAGCCCATTTCACCATGAGCTGCACTACAGTTCCCAGCACTGCATTATAATGTGTGCTCCCACCCCTTCCCCAACAATGATCTATGGGACAGCACCACATAAAAAAAAGATGCCAGGTGTCTAGTTTAAGCGAAAAACCTACTGCACATTGGGGACATTTAAAGAGGTTTTAAAGATACCTGCAGCTAATGTAGGTGTTGTTTTATATAAAATAATTTGTTTTTATTTAAAACAATTTTTAAATCATTCAAGATGATTCAGTGCCTATTTTGTGCTGGCATATTTTGAACAAACAAAGGCCAAATACAGCTGGCACAGATTTGTTAAGATTTTTTAATATGGCCCTTTCAGTGGTTGAGTCTGACACCCCTGAAATAATAGCTTCTAGCGCACTGTGCGTCCAAAAAGGGAGCCATTTGGAACACCGTCAAGGAGAGAGAGAGCGATTCATGCACCCCTAAGTAGTGCATGAATGGCTTCTACCCTCTAATTGTGCACTAGATGTCCAATAGAGGTGCGATTTAGGATCCACTTATTTTATAGGATCAAAATGATTGTAAAGTCATCCTTACATCTTTACAGTGATTTAAGAGAACTTAAAAGACTGAGACACTGACATTCATACAACAGTTAGTTCCCATGACACAGTCTGATTGGTTGAGAAACACTCATACTGAAATTTGTAATAACAGTGTGTTTATTTCACAATAACTTTATCTTTCCTCTGATCCCCGGTTGCTAAGTAACCCAACTCGCTTTACATTCCGGCTAACGTTTGTTTCTACATTAGCACATGCAAAAAACAGAACTGGGAGGCTTTAGATACCTCATGTGAGAGAATATTTGACCTGCTGCCCATTTGGTCAGATTCTGAGGAAGATTCTGAAGAAGATGGAACAAACTAGAATTAGCCAGTAATGAACAGAACAGGCAGCAAACAAGATAACAGTCCTGGGCCGACTCTGGCTTTTATAGGTGAGTGTTGGTTGACCACCGGGCAGGTGTTAGGCATATTAGGCATACAGCTGCATACAGTTTTACCTCATGTCTATATTTGTGGGCCAATTCTGGTGTGCAATGTGTGGACCAACAATGTAGTTGGGCCAGATTTGGGCTACATTTGTCAGTCCTACTCACTTTACAGTATGAGGGCCAGACCAGGCCAAGGATCCAGTTGTACAGTGGGCCAGAACAAACCCAAGGATGTGGCCCAGACAAATTTTTCTAGAAGGTTCTTTACAGACTGACTGGAAAAAACATTTTCAGTTTCATCTGGCAAATATTTAAAAAGCTGAGCTGAACCTGATATGGCAGCACGGTGGTGCAGTGGGTAGCGCTGTCGCCTCACAGCAAGAATGGCCTGGGTTCGATTCCCGGCCGGGTGACCAGGGTCATTTCTGTGTGGAGTTTTCCTGTTCTCCCTGTGTCTGCGTGGGTTTCCTCCGGGTACTCCGGTTTCCTCCCACAGTCCAAAAACATGCAGTCAGGCCAATTGGACATGCTAAATTGCCCCTTGGTGTGTGTGTCTGTGTATGTCTGTCTGCCCTGCGATGGACTGGCAACCTGTCCAGGGTGTATCCTGCCTTCTGCCCAATGACAGCTGGGATAGGCTCCAGCACCCCACCGCGACCCAGAAGAAAAAGCGGCTTAGATGTATGTATGTATGTACCTGATATTGCAACAGTTTGATGGTTCTGTCTGTAGGGTATTATTTTTTTGTGGCAAAAGGAATCACCAATATCAAAAGAACTTTTGTTCTGGGCTTCTTTTCTTTACTCTTTCATCATTTTACATAAGAATAGTATAAAAGCAATGGAGCATTTGAGGTCGGTTGTTATTGCGAATGGGCTCAGGTTCGTGTCGAGTGTTGTACAGCTCTGGGTGTTAAAAACAGCCAAGCTGCTTTTTCCTTTATGGTGGATGAGTAAATAGAGAAAAGCAAAGCTTGGTATTGACTGGCCAGCTGTAAATGGTGCATGTCACCCTTTTGTGGGTCAGTTTTTCAACATAACATGTGGTTTAACAACACAAAGCATGTTGCACGGGCCTGAGGAGCGCTGCTGAGTTGTGGTGTTTGTTGCTCCATAGACAGCAATGAAAAGAAGAGCACTTGAGAGAGTTTGAAAGGTGCCCTCTGATCACCCCTTCATTCTTATTCCTTTTTGACTTTTCTTGAATGATCCATGCAATCAGTACAATCCAAGATGCTTAACTTACAGTGACCGTTCAAACTTTATTTTGTAGATAATTTCATGAAGAGATCTATTTTTCATTTTTATAAAAATGCTGATGATATCATAAGGCCTTTAGAACCTGATTGGCTTTGCAAGATTAAAATTTCAGCTTTTTTTTAGACTTACTTTAAGTAAGCAGTGGAACATGCATTCAGTGATCACAACTGAATCCAGCCATGATTTTACTTACTATAACAAACCACTGTGAGTGCTCTATTGCTTAGTTTTGCAGAGTGAAAAAGGTCAAGCAAAAAAAAGTCCTGAACATGTTGGGGCAGTGTGTGAAACGCAGATGAAAACAGTGATGTACAAATCTATTTTTACCTATATTTGAACAAAAAACTGTACAAAAAGAAAATATGTCATGCTTTAGTCCATCGGCATTATTGTTTATTGTAAATATATGCTTATTCTGAAACTGATGCCTGATACAGGTTACAAAAAAATCGTGACAGGAGCAGTTTACAAATAGAAACAATGTGAAATTTTGGGAAAAACATAAATAGGTGATGCAATATGCTTGGATATAAAAGGAGCATCAAAGAATGGCCTAGTCCTTTATGGGCAAGGAGTTGAGGCTCGCCACTTTATTTAAACATTGCATTCTTCAGCGATCGATTGCAGGGATTTTAGGTATTTCACTCTTTGCAGTATATCATCAACAGATTCAGTGAATCTGAAGAAATCTCTGTGTGTACAGGAGAAGGACAAAAAACAATTAATGCTTTGATCTTTCATGCATTCTGTGATGGATGATATGTATCCATGCGGATACAAGTACTATGCACTGTTGAAGCTATCAACAGCCAGAAACGCTGCCAACTTCTCTGGGCTCAAGCTTATCTGGAATGGACTGATGCACAGGGAAACACGTTGTGTGATCTGAATAGTTAACCTCATAGGTTTTTTTTTGGAAATAATGGATGTCATGTTTTCCATGCCAAAGAAGAACAGGACTATCCAGACCATTACTGGTGTAAAGTTCAAAATACAGGGTCTGTCATGGTATGGGGGAGCACATGCATTTTGGTGGCTGTCAGGCAAAGAAATAGTAGAGTTCGTGTGGAAGCGAAAATGACAAACAGATGAGTGTGGGTCAGAATAAGATTGAGTTTGTGCTTAGTGGCCTGCCCTGAGATAGTAAATGTTAAACAGCATCTTTTGGTCGAGCAGAAGTGCAGTAGATGGGCGTGCCACTTTTGCACCTATTGCTTTCTATGGGGAAAAAATATGTAGTTTAACAGAGATCGTTCGACGACCGTACATCAGCTCAAAAAGCTGTAGACAAGACACCCTTCCTGATTAGACCAAACATTGTGGAGTTGTAACAGTGCTGATATCTCAAAAACTGCAGGATGAATTAGACTTAAAGTAAGCATTGTTATAATTGACCAAAAAAGTTTGATTTTATGTGGTGAAGTTGACGGTTGGCTGTAAATGTCTAAGCTAATGGTGATGCTAGTGACTCACTGCATTCACTTAAGACAGCTAAATGAAGAGTTTTTACATCTTTACTCCTCTTTCCTGTAGTGAAGGCGGTAAATCGGGTAGCCACTCCCATCTCTGTTATTTAGAGCAGATTTTTTATCCCCCAAAGACGTCCTGAAGTGAACGGGTATTACCCCACCTCCTCACGGAAAACTAATCCCATCCAAAAAGGGCCTTTTCTCACTTGTTGTTTAGCTTATTATTATTGGTAAAAGTG